TAAGGCCAAGAGCCCCTAGTAGCTTCTTGTTCCTAGTAGCGATGCCATCTTCTTGTTCCTAGTATATTAGCTAGGAAGCTGCTGAAGCTCCAAACCAGGTTCCACACCAGCTAGACTCACCAGCCAGTCGTCGTCTTGACGTCTCGTTTTGCCTGCTGGCGCAACTCCACCTTGCGGGAGTTCGGGGTGTCACCGGGGAGTCACCGGGGGTGCTTGCCACACGTCGTTCCACTTGGCACCCATCCTCTCAAACAACCTCTAAAGTTTCTGCTTGATCATGAGATGTGAATTGGTTATTCAGGTTGAGTCCTGATGCACTGTGTTCATTTCCAGCACTGGGTCAGAACATCAATCCATAGGGAGTCCGGTTAGGCCAAAAATCCCTCCTGTGCACTCAATCCAAACCACCGATGTGCACTTGGTTCCCCCAGCCAAGGCAACGTGCCAGTCGTGGGCGCGGGCGATGTCGGCGACGTTGAAGATGGCGCATTGGACCTTTAAAATGGAAAGGCCTCAGGGCCGTTCGAGGTTGGTTGCCCGAACAAGCGGCATTGAGAGGTCTCACGTCATGTTTTTTTCCCCATGCACTGGTGTTGCTTTTTGTGGAAGATGTTGGAGCCCATGCACAAGCGCCGACCGACTAAAACAGCTGACTGTTGGGTCTGTGAAAAACTTCTGACTCCAAGGGCCGAACTGATCTCCCAGGTACCTGGCGGATGTCGAGCATCAAATGCTCCACGCTACCGGCGATGACAACCATTGATGATTCGATGATGTTGAATTCTGGGCGCTGATTGGATTCGATCCAAACCATCAGATGCTCCATGTCTCAATCCAATTGTCTCATCGCGTTCAGTGCCCTTTGAAATGCTCAAAGGTCATTCAAAGGAAACAAATTGTGCACGGGATTTGTCCTTCCTTGGAGGCCATTCCTGTCAGGTTGGAGGCCATCGCTATTTTTCCACCTCCTCAGCTGAGTCCTCTCGCTTCACTGGCTCGATCCTCGCCCCCACCTCGCTTCGTTTGGTAGAGACCTCTGATCGGAGGCCCCTCCCCGGCTGCTGTGCTCGACTCCTGCGCTGCCTGCCCTCGCAGGTTGGGAGCGTCCCTGGGCGGCGCATCGTTTAACATGACGTGAATCGCCCCTAGTAGCATCCTTTGTTCCTAGTGACACCGAAAACAGAGAACGATTCGCAAGAGTCTTCCAAAAGTCGCAAATTTGACTCTCTACTGCGACACTGTACCTTGAGGTTTTGCCTCACAGGTTTGCATCTCTTTTGGGGTTCCTACGCTCTCGACACGTCTCTCGACCTACGCTCCGCGTTCCTGAGGCTCCCACCGACCTCGCTGGAGCTGCCTTCGGCAACACTCCAAGACCTGGAGCACGGAGCCATAGAGTCCCTGGAGTCGGCCCAAACTCATGGCTTCACTGTACCGGGCATCGCTACTAGTAACAAGGGCATCGCTACTAGTAGTAATGGCCTCCAACCTACTTGCGATGGCCTCCAACCTAAGAGCGGTCTCCACCCTAGTAGTGATAGCCTTCATGGGAAAAATGGAACACCCTCAAAAAGTCCCGACAAAAAAATTGGAATTGTCCTTTTCACTTTGGTTGGCAAAAAATAGTCTTTGGACTTCTAGGGAACATAGATGAACATAGTCTTTGTCCGTCTTTTTTTTGTGTTTCTTGTTGGAATCACGAAGTTTGAGAATGTTTTCCTTGAGACATTTAGCTCCCGAACGCACACACTCATGGATATGCGTACTGACTTGATTGCGGTGCCACACGCCGACCTAGGGTTCCATTTCCTAAGAGTACCAGTAAGAACCATCGGAGCCTGGAGGTCTTCAAGAGGAAAGGGGGCCAAACTCGCAAGTCGAGAACGAAACGACAAGGTGACGGCGTAGCGTGCAAGTCTGCGGAGGTCAACTCAGGAAAAGCTAAAATTCCAGCAGGTACACAATGCGGCGTCCCGCATTGCTTCACGACCGATCTATCACTGTCTTCGTTGGGCAGTGAGTGATAGTGGTCCACTGCCCCCCTGCTCTGAAACAAAATCCAAAAGGATCCCTATGATTCCAAGGGTTACACACACACGCCTCCCCGAAGGGAGGCATGTTTTAAGCTCCGCGCCAAAAAGCGCGGATAGAGTAGTAGCAAGGCCAGGAACCTCTAGTAGCGTCAAAGTAGCGACCTAGCACCTAGTAGGAAGGCCAGGAGCCCCTAGTAGCAACCCAAGCTAAGGTCCCGACAGGAGGGAGGGGTAGGGAGAGACGAGAAAAAGGAAAGAGGAGGAAGGAAGGTGTTCCCAGCTACGACGCAAGCGTCCAAGGACACACCAAAAGAAGAGCGGAGAAGGGTTCCCAGCTATGACAAAAGCATCCAGGGACACCCAAGGGGTGGAGAGGATAGAGAAAGAAAGAAAGAAAGAGAGAGGGAGAGAAAGGGAGAGGAGAAAAAAGGGAAAGGCAGGTGTTCCCAGCTACGAACAATCGTCCAGGGACACACCAAAGAAAGAAAGGGGTGATCCTGAGTCTTCCATTCAGGAAAACCCCAAAAAGCAAGGAAAGAAAGGAGGGAAGGGGAAGCAGGGGGACTAAGCTCGCAACAGGTTCCAATGAACCTTGAACAGACTTCGGTCGCTGCGACCACGTACGGCTTGCCCATGGGCTGCCACCTCTGACCGCTACGGTCACGTAAAGGCATGAGCCAGCTTGGAATTCTTAAAATGGGACAAATTGGAATTCTCTCGGCCTAGGCCACCTTCGCCCGCTCTGGGCATCTACATCTCCGGGCAGAGGAGATAACGACGTACACCCGTTCGACGGGTCCACGGGAGGCACTCTGCGGGCTCATCCCGGCTTGGCACGAAGCCAAACACACTCATGGATATGCGTACTGACTTGATTGCGGTGCCACACGCCGACCTAGGGTTCCATTTCCTAAGAGTACCAGTAAGAACCATCGGAGCCTGGAGGTCTTCAAGAGGAAAGGGGGCCAAACTCGCAAGTCGAGAACGAAACGACAAGGTGACGGCGTAGCGTGCAAGTCTGCGGAGGTCAACTCAGGAAAAGCTAAAATTCCAGCAGGTACACAATGCGGCGTCCCGCATTGCTTCACGACCGATCTATCACTGTCTTCGTTGGGCAGTGAGTGATAGTGGTCCACTGCCCCCCTGCTCTGAAACAAAATCCAAAAGGATCCCTATGATTCCAAGGGTTACACACACACAGCATTGGCAAGCGTTGAGGGAATACGTCAGAATAAGGGAATCATCACACTTCTTCATTTCATGCCCAAACCCAAGAGCGATGGCCTCCAATCTAGTAGCGTCTAGTTACTAGAAAGCTTCAAAGACACATACTAGTAACTAGTAGCTTTATTGTTACTACTAGCGATGGCCTCCAACCTACCAGCGATGGTCATCGCCCTTTGCTTCAAAGCTTCAATGACCTCCTAGTAGCGTCCTCTTGTTCTTAGTAGCGATGCCAGGAGCCCCTAGTAGCGTCCTTTGCTCCTAGTAGTAGCGTCCGATCGCTCCGTTTCGGTCCCCGTCGATGTCACGTCCGTTTTCCCCGTCGCCTCTGCGGTGTGGACCTCCAAGGCGCCTGCCCAGGCCGTCTCAGGCAGGTCCAACATGCTCACGATCGTCCTCCGGGAGAAAACATGAGGAAACTTGAGTTGTGTTTGTTCTTGTTCCGTTCTTCTTGTTTTTGCCCGGCCTCCTTACTCAATTAAGTAGGTGCCTACTTGACTACTCTGATTTGGGAAACATAATCGTTGGTTCATTTCAAGCGCTT